CTTGCTGGAAAATCACCTCATTCCTACATTTCCAAACCGACCACAGCACAGCCCTAGGGATAAACTTCCATATGAGAGATCTTGGAACTAGCTCATCCCACGCAATTAAGAATTCCATCAACTTAGCCGGAACCACAAAGCAAACATTCTAGTACTTTAAGAACTTAGTTCACAGGTCCCACACCACATCACAGTGCAGAAACAAATGTGAGACCGACTCATTACACTTCCTGCACAAAGAGCACACAGTGTCTTCCTATCTTATTAAAAGTTGATCTTTGTCATCAAGCATCAATTTTGACATATATCCCGTAGATTTCTGTGATGTATAAACTATTTAAGATTGAGATAGAATTTCAAAAGCCTGCCAATTTCTTAACCACAAACCCAAGTATAATAACATTATCAACTTGTTTTGGCTTTTGCCGTCATTTTTATACCATCATATTCATTTAATTTTTCCAGATATTTTATGATAAGAATCCTTGAATTTGGGTTGTTTTTCAGAGTCTCATGTGAAATCAGAGCCAGCTGACAATGTTTTGACCCCAGCTATACAACAAGAGAGTCCTATTCGTTTAGACGGTAATCGCCCCGATACTTTACTTGCTTCAACTTGGCTGGAGCAAGGTTCTGGTTTTGATGAGGACCAAGCTATCTTGACTGATGCCATATCAACCCTTCTTGGTGATGATTTGAGTATTGACTACAAGAATATGGCAGCCGGAACATCTATTTCAGGTCAAGCATGGGGTCTCGATTCTTGTGCATGGAATAACATGCCTGCTGTCTGTCAAATGTCTGAACTCCCTTGAGATCCGCTGTCACAACTGTATGAACTTATCTGAAGCTCTTTTTGTTTGTTTCATTCATTCCGTGATTTGTGTGATGTGGGTCGTCAATCGAACCTGGTGTACCGATAGTTCATTCGGGGTTGAGATCATCATGATATGGTACGAGTCATGGATGTTTTTGGTCTGTTGTCAATGATGTTTTCTTTTTCCTGTCGAACAGTTGAATGCATGTATGCCAACATGAACTCCGAGGTATACAAATGCATTCGAGATGTTGTTATAACTTTTAGAATAACTATGCATTTTCAGCATGAACAATGATTTGCTATTTGATGCATTATGTCTTAAACTGAAATGCTTATGTGTACCTTTGGAAGGGAAACAGTTTTAGGTTTCAAAATCTCTGTTTCTTTTCTTATGAAATCATCTTAGTTAGTAACCGTGTTGAGATTTGATGTACGGCTTCAAGTTTGATTTGGTCGTTCACGCTTGAACTCAAGTTTCTGTTCGAATCGAGAGTTCTCAATAAGCGCATGAGTTATAAAATGCTTGAATTTATTTTATAGTTCTGTAAAACTTTGTTTCCAGTCTACAAGCATAATTAGTAACCTAGATGTCGGTGAGAAGTTCAAGTTTGAGAAGAAGCTCGAACTTAACTTGAAATTTGAACTTTGACTTGGTTCTGAGTCCGAATTGAGTGTTCGAGTTATTCAAGCGCATGAGTTTGACTTGGTATGAACCCTAATATAACCTATAAGCAGCCATGTAGATAACACATTCCAAATACAAGATTTTTAAATAAAAATATGATAATTATTTATTTAATTATCTCGTTGGTTAAAGGTATATTATAAATCAATCCATGAGTCGAGGACCAACTCTTTATATACATCATTTAAAATGACAAAAATTTGAATGATTTTTTTTATTTGTAAATTCTAAATCTAATTTTAATTTTACTTGGATAGGAGGAGAAAGAGATCCTCTAAGGGAATGAATGAGTGTTTCTCGTGGGTCTAGAACTCATGGTTTAAAGAAATATGATGATATCTGGATTTCTGTAAAGTGGAGGCTCCAGAAAAGTTCGGCCAGTTCCGACCAATTAGTTTGTGCACTGTACTATAAAGCAATAACAAAAGTCATCGTTAATCGGCTTAAACCATTATTACCCACTTGGATTTCTGAAAGCCAAACCAGCTTTGTCCCGAGGAGAAATATTTCTGATAATATCATCATTGCAAAAGAAGTGGTGCATTCAATGCGACAAAAAAGGTAAATTTGGATGGATGACAATCAAATTAGATTTGGAAAAAACGTATGATAGATTGGAATGATCGTTTATTGATGACACATTATTAGATGTGGGTTGTCCAAAGAAATTACAGAACTTGATTATGAGTTGTGTATCAACCGTTTCAACTCAAATTTTATGAACGGGCATCCAACTGAATTTTTTAAGCCAACAAGAGGGGTTAGAAAAGGAGACCCGCTCTCACCTTACCTCTTTGTCCTATGCATGGATCGCTTAGCACAAACTATTCAAATGGAGGTAGATAACGGAGAATGGAAACCGGTTAAACTATCTAAAGATGGTCCAGTTGTTTCTCACCTCTTTTTTGCAGACGATCTGATCTTGTTCGCAGAAGCCTCAGTTGAACAACTAGATGTTATTAAAAGGATACTCCGAGATTTTTGTGCCAGCTCCGGACAAAAAGTAGGTCTAACAAAAACTAATATTTATTTCTCAAGAACGTTGATAAAACTATTTGCACGGACATAAGCGAAGAATTCCAGTTTTCCCGAATGGATGATCTTGGTAAGTACCTAGGAGACACTTATCGGATAATTCATCATGTAGTTGTTGTGGTATTACTAAGGAAACAACATCTCATATATTCCAAGCATGCTTCATAGCAAGAACAACATGGAGCGAATTAATTAAACCAGAGAAGATCGATAAATTTTGCCCAATGCCAATAGATGAGTGGATACAGACCAACCTGCAAGAACCAGGCCATTTCTCGAGACGACGAGAGGAGTGTGACCTTGTTTTTGGATCAATTATATGGAGTATTTGGGTTCGTCGAAACAAGTTCATATTCGACCCTGAATTTACTGAGACTGAGAGCGTGCTGCAATCGGCTATACGACTTCAAATTGAAGCTTCACATGCGTTAAATCTTCATCAACTACGACCAATAAAACGAGGAATACAGCACGAACAACAACAACAATGGCAGCCTCCCCCAGAGGGATGGTGGAAGTTGAATATTGATGGAGCTCGCAAATTAGATATAGGAGTGATTGCTTGCGGGGGAGCTCTACGAGATTCTAACGGCAAATGGATCATGGGATTCACAAAAGCTTTAGGACGATGTTCAGTACTAGAGGCAGAACTATGGGGAGTGGTCGTGGGACTTGAAATGACATGGAATATCGGTTTACAAAAGGTCATGATAGAGACAGACAATAAAGAAGTATTCAAATTTTTGATGCAAGGTGTGTTGATGGATAGAGTATCACCGATGGTACCACGCGTCGTCTGGTTAATTCAACGAAAATGACAGTTATATTTTGAACATATTCCAAGAGAACGAAACGGAGTTACCGACGGATTGGCAAAGATGACATAGAACCTCCCATTCGGACTCCACAATTTTGAAGACCCTCCGACGGAGATAGAAAACCTATGGATGAACGATCGAAGAGGAAACATAGTTCTACCGTACTAAAAAAAATATTTATTTCTCCCGATGCATATCACTTGAAATTCCTTGAAACGATAAACCAAATGCTAAAATTTTGTATTATGTATTAATATTTCTCATATTTTATTTCCTTTGTTATACTGGCTTAATAATTTTTATTTTGTATTTTATGAATTTAGAAATTGAAGTACGATAATTATTATTATTATTTCAAAATGAAGCAAGAATGGTATCCTATTATTATCATAGTCGAGGAGCACAAACATGATAGATTGAAGAGGGTAGGTAGAGACAGTCGTCCTCTTACAAATTTAAAATTACTATATATTTTAAATTTTTATACGTATTTTCTTTTGAAAAATTGGTTTCATCTCCTGAAAAATTATAAATTTGTCATCTCTTTAAATTTTAGAGATTCGTTCCCGTAACATAAAATTTTACATTCATCCTAGAATGCATACATAATTGATAACAATACAAAAACTAACAGTGAGACACCAATAAATGAGAAACACTGATTTTGGCAGGTTTTTGTGATTGCTGAATGGGATCATAATATAGAGGTAATGAATTAAATATGGCTGTGATTTGTTGGGGACTTATGTTGGGTAATTTTTACGTGTGATGGTTTAATTTAAAGTTAATTTAAAATTTTATCATGTTTGACCTAGAAAATTATATAAGTTTATAATATTTTCAATTGTAATTAAAAAATTACATGACATGTTTATGATTTACAAATGAAAAAAATTATACAAATTTATAATATTTTTTATTATAAAAAGATACTATAGAGTAACATTTGTCATGTAACATTTTGCTGCTACCTATGTTGTAAGTTGAAAGGGAAACATAAGACAGGGATATAAAGTGGTGGCTACGTCAGACCCATTATCTTTTTTAATGAATCATTGCCCACTTACTCTGATTTCTAATCATTACTTATTAAAGCTCAATCGATTGAGTTATTTTGAAATATGATTACATCGCTTATATACAGCCAACAAATTTTATGCCTCAGAATTATTGTTGCTTTAAACTTAATAATTTAAGTGCAACATTTTTTGTTTAAGAAGAATACATATCAAATGGAAACATCTTTATGACTTTATCTAAAATTAATTGATTGAATTGCCTGTGGAGAATCGTAGTTTCTGTTAGATAAGAACTAATCATACCATGCACTCCTTCCAAGTGGATTACATCTTCAAATGAGTTTTTGCTTTATATATATAAATAAAAAAAATTAGTTTTATATAAATATATGACCGTTAGAATAGTAGAAATTGACAGCCGAAATTATTTTTTATTATTTTAGTAAATTATTTACAACTGTTAATCTCAATCATTTATTTTCATTAATCGAAAGAGGAGAAGAAGTATGGAATTCTCTCAAATTTTCATTTAGCATCTGACCCTTAACACCATTAATTACTTCATACTAAAAAACAAAACAAATATAATCTAAGAGTCTCGTACAAATTATACAAGGACCAAAATGTTTTTTTTTTCTTCTAAAAATATCCCATAAATTTGCAAATTCTAAACTATTTTTGGTTACTGTTGGGTTTAATGGGGGATTCAGGCATTTCGATGGTTAAGGCGACATGTGAGAGCTTATTCTTCTGCACTTGGTTGGCTTCAATGTCACCACTTACTGTGCCTTTAATTGCTTCATCTTCCATCTCTTTGCTCTCTGTGTGTTTTCCCCATAGGACAGAATAAAGCCCCATCACTATCAAAATGGAACCTACCACCCTGCAATTAATCAATTCAAGCACTCATCAAACTCAATGATTCTATATTAAAAAAATGAAATATTCAATTTTGAAAGAGATCATTTATTCATTACCCTCCAAGAAAAATCTTCTCAGCCAAGATGAAAGACCCCATGATTGCAACTATGATCATTATCAGAGGGCTGAAAGCAGTGGCAAAAACTGGACCCCTTTTCTTTATAACCATCCCTTGTACATAATATGATATGCTTGATGCCACTATTCCCTATAAAAAAGCATCGAAATTCAAGATAAACTCACTTTTACTTCAATGTCTGTAAAGGGTAAAAAAAAACCAACAACAGATAGAAGAGAGATGTTAGATTATTACAGCATAGGCAGCCGCAAGTAGGTTCATGTCCCAACCAATTTGCCAAGCTGAAGCCTTGTGCTCCATCACAAATGTAACAACAATGGCTTGTAATGTCCCCACAAAGCACACTAATGATGTTAGAGAAAGCTGATGATTCTTGTATGTCTTCAATGCTTTCGCCTGCACGAAATAATATCTGATCATGAAGGTCGAATACAGTAAAAATCGGGACTCGAGAAGAATCGGAATGCTTTAAGTACCTGTAAGACAAAGAGGGAAGCCCAAGCAAGGGTGGCTAATATTAGGAGAATGGAGCCTTTGATCCAATCTTTGTCAGTATTTCCAGTTGTATTATCTGCAAAAGATTGTTTAGGATGAATATTCCTACTCCAAAACAATTCAACAATGGGTCCTTTATACAAGGTCATCAGCATTGCGCCTGCCACTGTCACCATTGTTCCCACTATCTTCGCTTGACATCTCACTTTCTTAACATCAATCTTCTCCATCCTGAACCGAAAATCCGATTTCGATCAATTAAATCATCCCTTCTTATTTTGACTTTTTTTTCCCGTATATTTAGAGGATTCTTAGAGATCATTGTTATATACCTGCACATGACGGCCATGATGAATGTCATTGCAGGCAACATATTGCTCATGGCACATGAAAAAGTTGGAGACGTATATTTCAGCCCAGCATAGTAGAAATTTTGATCAATCACCGGCCTGTACCATATTTGGTCAGAGTTTAGCAAAGTTCATGCAACGATAAGAAAAGGATTTCAAGAAGAAAATAAACTAACCCCAGAAGAGCCAGGATAAATATTTGCATGAAAACGGGGAAGGTTATCTTTGGTTGCCCTCTCCTGAAAATGTTAATAAACACAGGAAAATTAAGGTATAAGTTCATCTCAGTAGCATATATATATATATATGTGTGTGTGTGTGTGTTGATTGAAAAATTGTGGTTGTAATCGTTTTAGACGTTTCACCTCCTTCAGTTTAGACGGAGAATAGCATATAGTAATTCTATTGATGTAGAAAGGAAGATAAATAGATTGAAGGAAGAATATAATGAACATTATCATCTTTTTCAGTATCTTTATCTTCTTTACTATATCTATAAAATTACATCTATCACTTTTTGTCTAAATCAAAATTGGTGAACCACCTAAAGCTGTCATAACTATAATTTGTTCATCGACGATATATTATGTTATTGAATGATTTTCGAACCTTTCGAAGATTAGAGCAAAGGGAGCAATAACAGCAGTGGCAAAAGCATGGCGGTAGACAACAAGGACATAGTGGCTCATGCCTCTGTTAAGTGAAACCTTGGTGATGATGTTCATGCCAGCATACCCAAATTGCAATGAAATCATTGCGAAATAAGGCTTGGAACTCTCTAGGAAGTTGCCACAACATCTCACTTCTCCATTTTTTTTTCTTATGAAAGAAATTGGCAAAAGGGTGAGAATTTGCAGTGATTTTTGAGAAGAAAGAAAGAAAGAACTGAGAAAGTGTTGTTGTGTTTCTCCCTAAAGGGAAGGTGGGGGATTGGGCACATATTTATAATGGTTTGGAGGGAAACAATCCAATTCCATTATGCTTGGCATTTGCGGAGGGTGCATCAAATATACATCAAACTTTATTTTATATCTATGCCGAAATTTATTTGCAAAAAAAGCATTCCAATATGGTGATTATAAAACTATATATTATTCTAACTAATCCAAAAGTGTTCAATTATTTTATTTTGGACAGATAAAACTTTACCCAACTCGAAAAAAATTAATTTTTTTATTTAACTCGATGTCAATTTTTTTAACTCGACTTGTAATTTTATAAATTCGATTTGGTTTAAACAAATTTTAAAAAAGTTTGAGTTATAAAATAAGAATCGAATAACTCAATTTTTTTTTTGTAATAAATGGATTGATTTTTAAGTTCGAGTTGAGTCTTTTAACTCTAAATGATATATGTATATCATACTATATGAAGAAAATATATATGTATATCATATATGGTTATAGAAAACCATTTAAATTAAAATCAATTAATATCATAATATTATAAATATTTATAATTAAATTTAAATAGAAATTGAACAACTCAACATGAAAAAATTTCAAAAAAAAATTGAGTTATAAAATATGACTCTTCAACTTGTTTACCTTAAAAATTTTAACTTGACTCAATCGAATATTTATTCTTATTTTTATTTTGTCACTTTAAATTTGATTTATTAATATATTTTATTATTTGATTTATAATATATTTTTATAGTCATAATGAAATTTAAATATTTATTATTATTCAAATGTCTGGGTTAGAGAAATTGGATTTTTTAGAATATACAAATATTTACTATAATATAATTGAAAAATATTATTATTTATAAGATATGTTTTTATGTTTTTTAAATTTATTAATGAATTTATGTTTGACTTGTGGATTTTATGCGGTGACATAAAACCGTGTGAGTTCATTGAAAGGTATTCTATTAATGATTATCCATTTGGAAATCAATATAAAAAAATATGATCTTGTATTACTATTATGTTTCGAATATTAAGCTTTTTATTTATTAAAAAAGCAAGGGAACGAGTGGATAATACGTGGCTAATAGTGGTGGGGGGATCTGAGTCACCTTCCACATGATGAGTGTTGATGATGCGAGCCTCAATTGACATTATTTTTCTATTATTGTTGTATCATATTTTTTTAATTATCGTTATTTAGTTTATTTATTAATTAATTTAGATAGTGGCGGATCCACTCTTCGTCCAGGATGCTCACACGTTCACTCTGAAATTTGATTAATTATTAATATTATTGATTGTATCCATCTTCAAATTTTATTTATGTCTATCCATGCGAAAACTTTGTGTTATTAAACCATGAGTATCCACTTTTAATTTTTTTTTGGATCCACTACTAAATTTAGATCAAACACTCGAAATGTATGTCATGAAAATAGCTCTTTCAATTCAAAGAAGGTAAGGGAGAAACTTTTTGTACGCAAAGAGGTCTTGAAACTAGACTAAAACATATGTCGACACCCAAGATGGTGTCTAAATACTATGGAACATACATTATTTTGGTGTGTTTAAAGATTTGTCGTGTCATTTCCAAGTTGTTTAGAATTATGTATGCATAAATTCGTTCACAAAAATCTCAGTTGGTCGGAATATATTTGGAGGGGTGTTTTCTTTGTAGCATCTTAAAATGTTGGCCTCAATTAGTATATTTTGATTGACAAGTGATACGAGATTTGGATATATATTCTTTGAATTTGACTGTAGAATCTCCCGTCTTATAACATATAAATATATAGTCTTAGATTCACATATATTTCCAATTATGTATAAACATATTTTCTTTTTATAGCTATCAACTATATTTGCAGACAATCACAATTGAAATCGTAAAATTGTTGTAGGTCAAGGGTAGCTAATTCATTCTTTACTTAATTTTGTAATGATGAGTGTTCATATAATCATGTGTAAATGAACAGAAGTACATTAAATTTAAAATTTTGTATTATTTTTAAGAAATAAAAAGTAATATTTATATGTATTACAAGTAAATTATACAAATGGAGGAACTAGTAAGGTTAAATTATTAAAATACTATCTTTTTAATATTTATTTATTAAAACGGTATCCAAAAGACTTTAATTTGTAAAAATGTCATTTATTTATGTCGCATAATACGAAGGTACACCTATGTGATAACGCCTTTTGAAAGGCTCTTTCTCAAGGAAGCGTTGCGTTTTTGTTATCGTGGCAAGTTCAGAACTAAATGCTCTTCTTTAAAGAAGAACCATTCAAAAGGTACTTTCACATAGGCGTGTCTTTATCATATATATGATAGAAATAGTTGTTATTTTAAGAATTAAATTTATTTAAGTGTTATTTTAGTACGTAAATATTAAAAATATTATTTTAATAATTTCACCATTTAACTAATAATGGAGAAAAAACCTTTTTATAAAGAGCTTTAAGAAATGAGGATTCTAGTGAAGAAAGAATTGAAAGGTAGAGAGAAGGACAATGGAGAAAGAAGGGCCAGAATAAAAGAGTGAAACCGACTCGGCATCACTGAATGGGCCACGCCCACGCCCACGATATCCTATCTTGTCGTTCGGGTCCTATATGTTTTGTTTCTTGTCTCAACCGTTCACTTCATGCTTTTTCAGCCTTTGTCCCCAGCATACTAGTATTATAAATTAAAGTGTAAATTATATATATTTTAATATTGAATATAGTTTAATAATGTATTTTAATATTCATTTTTTATTGTTTAACTATATATCAATTTCCAGTTTTAGTTTAGTGTTTATTTATATTTTGTTCGATTAAGTATTTGAATGTGGTTTTTATGTACAAAATGATTCTTGAACTAGAGATTTACTGTTATCTCTTGAGGTATCACGTTCGAGCATCGCATATGTAAGAGTATGAGTGTTTCAAGGTATAGTTTTTAAATAAATATTGCTTTGTATTCATTCAAGATTAATAAAAAAAAATTAATTGAACCAAAATAAATTTAGGTCTTAAAGTTAAAAAAAATTAGTTTTTAAATAAATATCCTATCTTGTCGTTCGGGTCCTATATGTTTATTCTTACCCAAATCATCTAATAACAAAAAGATTTAAATATTGTTAGTTGGATATTAATTTGATAATTGTGTTATGGATAAAAATTTGATGTGATGTTATTGTTTTAATGGTTGGTATGTGTTTAGATTATACTTAATCAATTAGGCTAATCTTTAATATTAAAATTAACACCTTCTAAGTTGAATGTACTAAGTCAATAATATTAAGACTGCTGGGACTTTCATTCTCCTCTACTTTGGCTGTATTGTTTACAATTTCGATGGAATTAATTAAAAAAACACGAAAAGCATTTCATTGCTTTTATTTATCATTAACTTTCTTATCATGATTCATAAGATAATTATACCTGTCTCGTGTCATGCATATTTCAATCCCTTTCTGGTCAAAGCAAAGCAACACAGATGGTCAAGAAAGCACAAAGTATAAAGTGCCATGTATTCAAGTTAATCGCTCGACCATGCCCAAGTTGATTGATAATATATTGTCTCCACCTGATGCAATTTGTCCCATAGGATATAAATTATGTCGTATTGAAAAAATATATGTTGAAATTATTTTTTTAACTTTATAAACATTGCCCACCAATTGGTCAATAACCTATAACAATCGGCCAACGATGGATAACGACAGTTAAATTTCACAATAGTTTTTAAATATAATATTTTTAAATATTTATGTATTGTATTTTAGATTTTTTTTATTAATATAGGGTGAATATAAGGTATTATTTGTTTAAAGACTTAACCATTTGATATTGAATGTACATACCCCTGACATACATAGTGCTCAAACCTGATATTTCAAAGAATAATAACAATTTCTAAACCATTGAAATCGTTTGACACATGCTATTTTATATTTTAATATACATATACATCATATGTCATTTTGATTGATTAAAAATGTCACGTGACACATTTTAATGAGTATTAAATATTATTATTATTTTAATATTATTAAGAGTTAATTTCATCACATGTCTAAACAATTTGTTTAAAGATCAATTCAAAATTAGAGTTATAATTTCAATATCATTAAGAGTTAAAATGAGAGTTATAATTCAAAAGTTTAAGGACCGAGTGATATGAAAACAACCACAGTATGATGTGATTATAATATATTATCTGTTCGAAATACTTTCAATCATTTGACAATAAACATTTAATCACTCTTACATACATCATACTCGAATTTAAAACCTCTAGAAATTAAAAAAACCTAATTGCCAACCCTTAATAATTTCATGCAAAGATCCAATTTGACTAAAGCCTCTTTAATTTCCACTTACCATAAATATTAGTAATTATTTTTGGAGGTCACATCTCTTCTTTTAAAACAAAGCAATTGTTTCTCTCATTGCATGCTTGAAATAAAGTGTGTACTAATTTACTTCACTAAAAAGCTTTCAATTATTGAATCTATTTTCAGAAGAAAAAAAAGTTTTGGTCAAAACACATCTCCTTAAAACCAATCATGCATTTCCCCCTTTGTACATATATTTTGTGTTGTTTTTGCTTGTGAATATTAATAAATACAAGTTTAATTTTATTAATTATATGATCAAGCAAACATATATTCACTTGCCAGTTTCTTGAGTACCAATGTTAGATCATGAGAGCTTCTCATTACTACCAACCCAAAGATATACGACTAATGAATTATTTAATCAATTTTATTTTCTAAAAGAATTATAAAAAATTCTAAAATTGGATTGAATTATTGGGATAAAATAAATAATACAAATTTTTGATATTTCGTATAAGAGGTTGCTCTCTTTGATGAAATTACAAAAGGTTGGGACATTGAAGGTTATTTTGATGAAGACGAAAGCACTTTAACCTGAGAAACAACTGTTTTTTTTTAAAGTGTTTGTTTCTTCCAAGTTTAAAATACTATTTATTAGCTAATTTTTTCATTATAATTATAATTAAAATTTTACTTTTATATTACAATATTTAATTTTAATTATAATTATAAAATTTAATTAATAAACTGTCTTTTAAGTTAGCCATATTTCTTAAGGTCGTGAGTTTTAGATTCACTAAAAACAATTTCCTTTCTTCCTCTATGTAGGATTAATAATAAATTTAGAATTTACCATAATTTTATTGATTACTTTAATTAAAAAAACAAAATCCTTAGCGCAGTTTGCATACAACTATTGAAGTATGAGTTTTGGTGAATCTAACTCGTACCATAATAGATGTGAATATTGTATATTTTTCATGTATTGTAAATTCAAACTTTTAATTCGTACAAATTCAAAATAATTTTGAATATTAATTATTCTAATTTATTTTAAGATTTAAATACATAAATATATAATTTAAATTCATTTTATTTAAATCGATATAAATGAAAAAAAAAATCAGATTAGTGTTACATATATTTATATTTTTTGGGATTGATATTTTAACAATATGACTAACTTTTTTAAGGGTAAAGCTATGAGTTTCTTATATCAAAAAACAATCAGATATTTTTAATTTATTTAGAATATGTCATACATAATTAAATGGACATTTGTTCAATTGATATAGTTGCGTTCAACAGAAAAAATATATAAATCATTATATATATATCACAAAAAATATTTATGAATTAATGAAATGAATTTATCAAATCAAATATACTTCTCAAAGAATTAAACTAAAAAACCAATTTTGTAAGGTAATGAAATGAAAATTTATTTGAGCCAATGAAAACGTTGACTTTCCTAAAAAATTGCCAAAGTTAAAGGCCTTCCGATTATCTTAACCATAAGAAAATAATAATAACCCGTTAGTCAAAAATGGAAGGAGATCCAACGGCCACGCTTCCTTTTTGGAGAACTCTGATATCATCCGTTCGGGTTCAAACGTTCATGCAGTTCCTCTGATTATCAAAATAAACTTCGTATTTTTCCTCTTAGGTTAGTAGTCTTATCGATGATGGATTTTTCAATTAACTGTAGTCATCGTCAAGTTTGAGCTTCTGTCGGTTGAATCTGCTGCTTCGGTTTTGTTTTTAGTGCTCCTTCATACAGGTGATCGTCATTCAATAGATAGCCTTGTTCATGAATTTGCATTATGTGAGTATTTACGTATTGATTCATATGTTTGATTATTTTATCCGTCCAGGCCATTCATTCCGTCGTCGAGAAAATTTCATTTTGTCTATAATTTTTTGGTGGTCGTACAGTCATGTGTGCTGCAACTAATGTTGTAGAAAACAAGGAGGCGAGGTTGCCACGACAAGTAAAGGATGCTCTGCAATGTTTGGCATCCGAGTGGGATGACATAGTGGACTCGAAAGCTTTGCAGGTGATCCCCATTAAAGGTGCAATGACCAATGAGGTTTTCCAAATAAAATGGCCAACCAGAGGAAACGATACATCACGGAAGGTCATAGCTCGGATTTACGGCGAGGGTGTGGAGGTGTTCTTCGATCGAAACGACGAGATCAGGACGTTCGAGTTTATGTCCAAGTACGGACAAGGACCCCGTTTGCTTGGACGGTTTCCCAATGGCAGAATCGAAGAGTTCCTCCGTGCCAGGGTACTTTGAATCTGCTCTCCATCGTTTTCAACATTTTCTATATAATCAGACCTCGTTTTTCACATTGATTTGCAGACACTGTCAGCAGCTGATTTGCGTGCACCAGATATATCAGCTCTAATAGCAGCTAAATTGAGGGCGTTCAATGAACTCAATATGCCTGGTCAGAAGAAAGTTTGGCTATGGGATAGATTGAGGTACACCTTAATATCATATCTCTCAGCTACTGCATTTAAAGCTTTTACCAATGGCTCAAATAAAGAACTTGTAAATGTTTCAGAAAATGGCTTGATGCAGCCAAGAGACTTTGTCCTGTGGAAGAAGCGCAAGCCATTCACTTGGAAGCATTTCTGGAGGAAATCTGTATGTTGGAAAAGAAACTCTTAGGGGCTCATCAATGCATAGGCTTCTGTCACAATGATTTACAATATGGTAACATAATGATTGAAGAAGAGCTAAATCAATAACACTTATTGTGAGTTATTATCCAATTGGCTTGCTTAATAGTTAATAATCCGCTTACAGTAATTTTAATAGCAAAAGCCTGGTTTTACAGGATTATGAGTATGCTACATACAATCCTGTTGCCTATGATATTGCAAACCACTTCTGTGAAATGGCTTCTGACTATCATACGGAAACACCCCATATTGTAGATTACAGTAAATATCCAGGTGAACCTTGTGATCTCATTTTCCTTTTAAAAACAATTTTGCTTTTCATTCCCTGAATGGTAAGGAACTTTCTTGTTCTGTGGCATTAAAAGGTTTGGAAGAACGGTCAAGATTTTTGCGCATATACCTAGAATCCGCAGGTAATTACTGAAGGAAAGCAGTGTTGTTCCTTTTATCTGTTGGATTTGATCTGTTTGCATTGCAGGTGAGAAACCTGGAGACACAGAAGTGAAGCAGTTGCTTGAAGATGTTGAGAAATATACTCTAGCAAGCCATCTCACATGGGGCGTGTGGGGAATAATATCTGTAATTACCATCTTATTAGCTTGTTTATCTTATCACCATCTTCAAAATCATTTGATGATGAGATATAGGACAATGGTATGTTATTATCTTATTTATCAGTTATCTTCCTCAGGAATATGTGAATGAAATCGACTTCGACTACAAGGAATATGCAAAGCAAAGGTTTCAACAGTACTGGAAACAGAAGCCTCAGTTGTTGGGATCTCCTTGATCCCCCCACTTAGTGCCATTGCTGGTACATATTTCTTCATCCATTTTCTTTAGAGCTTTGGTGAAGCAAATGTTAGAGGTTTTGTGAAGGAACTCAGGCTAGTTTCATATACATCATATTGTATACTGAATGCCAAAGATGGATGATTTGTAATTGGGTGAATTGCAATTTGCAGTAAAGGGATAGAATGATTGAAAATAAATTGTAGTCCTTGAAATCAAGGTTTGACAATGAATTTTTTACATAAATACTTAAAATAAGGGAGAATAGTTGTAAATACATTAACCAACTAAATTTTTAGGTTCACTTATACTCAAATCTTATACCACCTTTAATTCTTCATCCAACCCTGACAAAGAATATGCTCAGCTCTGGACCAGAGTTACCATCCGGATTCATCATGTAATATGTTTCCGAATCTCGAGAATTAACGACTCGTTCGAAATATGCACGCATGTATCTCAACTCTCCGTCAGAATTCTCCGAAGCTTCGGTCGATATAACGCCGGCCCCCGTTGAAACAGGCTTCAAAGTTTGCATCACCATTAAGTCTTCATCAGTTGGTTCTCTCTTTAAACCATAGCCTGATTTTCGACCGTTACAAAATAATGTCCATATCGGTTCATCGAGGATCTTGATCTTCTCCGATGGACGCTTTTTGCATTCTAAAGCAATACGAACGAGCCCCGATCCCATCTCCTGGAGGAGTTTTCCGGTTGTTATAGCGAGCTCGAGTACTAAAATGGGGAGGCACCTAGAGTTTTCTTGGATGTCAAGGTTGACCCTGGCCTTTCGATACCCGAATAGGGTACCGGTCATTCGTGTCCCACCGTGGATATGACTGTCGTATTGCCGGTTTCCGTGGAGACTAACCGGGATCTTGCACGTAGGCGATATGATCGGAAATGACCTGAAAATGGAACGAAAACGCTTGAACAATTTCGACGGTTTTGAAGACCCTTTCTTCTTTGATGGTTGTTGCAAGGAGATTATCGGGTAAGTTAACGATGTAGTATTGGGTGATTCTACGTTATTTGGTGGAAAAGATGGAATGATTTGAGCTGCCATCGGCGGCGGAGGGCTGCTGCGGGTTGATCAAAGGGTTTAGGCTTAGAGGCATTTGATGTTTTTGAGAATTGCGTATAAATATGTGGGATCAGTTCATGGCATGCACGTTGCTGAGGCATTGGAACTAAATGGGATTTTTTGGGTAAACTTTTCATTTAGGAACTCAACTTTTGTCATATTTCCTTTTTTTCACTCAACTTTAGTTTTTTTTAATTTATTTTTCTCACACGACCATTAAGTGTTTTAAATAACTTGGGTAAATTTATACAAAAAGTTCGTAAAACTTTCCTCTCAAATGCAATTTTTTGGACTCTCCTTTATTTATTGGTGTTAGAGAATTTCCTTCGTATCCAAACGATAAAAAAGTAGAAAAAATATTAAAAAATTAACGATTTTTTATTTTATAGTGATTAAATGATAGAGAATACAAATCAAATCAAGATAACATCGAATTTTAAGTTGAATTATTTCGACTTTAAGAAAAATCAAACGAAGAGGAAAAAGGAGAATAGAAAATGAAGAATATTGATCATTAAGAAAAATGTAAAATATCAACTTAACTTTATATTGCAATGTATATTTAGTTTAGAAAATAATAATATTTAAAATCCATACACATAATAAATAGAATAAAAAAAATTTAAAAAATAATTCGATTTAAGCATTACATAAAATACATCTAATCTGCTACCATGTTTATATTTTTCTAAAAAAAAATATTAAGTTTTATATTCCTCCAACGTGCTTTGAAGTATCTGAAAGATTTTGTTCAGTTTTCCAAAATAATCTGATTAGCTGCTTGATGTTTCCTTAAAATGGTTTCTTGATTGGAAGGATTTCAACCGTCCAAATTGTCAAACCTTATCTTTATTGACAATTAAAGTTTGATGGTCAACTCAATGTGGCGATTAATCGTGTCTTGTATATTTGACTTTCAACATTTTCTTATAAGTTTTATGGTTCATAAATCTTTTCTACCGCATCATCCATGATTGTATGAATTTATAAAAAATTACATTAATTTTTTCATATCATTTATATTAATATTTTATTTTCAAATTATTATTCTCTAAATATCAAATTTAAAAATAAATAGAGTTTATTTTATTCATATTCATAATACTTTTTACTCAAAATCCAAAAAAAAAAATATTAGAGCCATATAAACGATATTTTTCCTCTGTAGGAAATTAATTGAAAACAATAGTTCAAATAACTGTTACGATTTTTTGGACTTTGTATAAAGAGATATTTAAAATAAAATAAAAACAAATTCTAATTATTTTTATTTTAATATTAGAAAGGATGACGGTTTTGGAAATAAAATATTAATGTATAAATGATATAAAAGATAATGTAGATTTCTTTTTTATTCACATGCGATGGAAATGATCCATGAATCACGAAATAAACTTTTCTCGTATAATTATAATTTTTTTAAAAATTAAATAAAATTATCATCTTATTAGAATAAAAGATATTATAAATCAGTTAATGCTATAGTTTACTTAATATATGAAAGAATGAATAATAAATATTAATAAAAAAGTCGTCGTTAATAATTTTTTCATCTTTTCAACCTGTAATGACATAATTTTTAGTGTTGGTCTTCGACTTTCAGCATTCATTGTTTTTCTTTATTTGATGATATTATATTTTTAGATTTTTCTTGTTTTCTAATTTTTAGTAACAATGTTTTTATAACATATTTTCTTATGCTTTTATAAAACGTTTATTCTGCCTTTTGACATATTTTCAGTATTTGGTCACTATTTTTATCTATTATTTCTCTCGGTATAGATTTGACATCGTCGTAACTGATCAAGATGACACTCAATTGTTATCATTTTCTTCTTATTTTGGACTCTTCGATTGGATTTGGATACACGATTTACATTTGTAACCCCTCAGACCGATGCGGATAGCCCGATCCGATCTGGAGTGTCACATTATGGCCACCGGAGCGACCCACTGTAAAACGGAAAATTTAAAACTTTAATTAAAACATGCAACTTATAAAATCATTTATCAGTATTCAGAAGTAAAATAGATTTTCAGACTCGTATATAAAGCAAAATACAATTACATGCCCCCTAATCACATGTCATACTCTGAAAACAAGCCGGAAAGAACTCACTTACTGATGTCGATAGTTGCACTGGTAATTCTTTAACCTGAAATGTTGAGTAATAGAGTGAGCTTCGGAAAGCTCAGTAATACAAAACTACCAGATGATGTACATGACATGTACATAATTGGAAAGCCATATAATTTCTTATTGAATCATACGTATACCAGTTTGCGGAATAATTTGGGGTTCCCTTAGAAGTTTATCGAGTAGAAGCCATGAATCTCAGTTCATAAGAACCTTTCAAAGTATGACATTTCGAATAGGATGTCTAGTGTGTTCCAACATAAAAATCATAATAGGTACACTTATCAAATGAGTTCAGTAAATCTCATAAAATCATAATGAAATTTAACTTTTGAAACTTGTAGTTTAAGCCATTCTCTTGTACACCATCCGTAGTTCCTAGAACTGCGTCCATATGGCTTACCTTAAGCACACAGCGAAAAGGAAGCCAACCTAAGGATAGGCTTGGGGCATGTATCCTTAAGTCCGTAAGTCCATAGGGCTTACCCTAAGCACACAGCAAAAGAGAGTCAACCTAATGGAATATCTTGGGGCCCGTGAGCCTACCAAGAGTCACATTAGTCCGTCAAAGTTTTCCAGCTTGATCAAAACTATACTTTATAAATCTGTATCAAAAATACAATTGCACCGTGACATAAATTCCATAAATCCATATACATGGTAATCAAATACCAGTTCAAACCAAAAATCAGATAGTTGTCTTAATCCATAAAACATCACAATAAATTGGTGCATCAATAAAACAGGAGTCATAGAATTCAGTGTACCACATTTTAAAACAAATAAAACAGTTCAGTAATAAATAGGGAATACACTAGAGAATCCAAGTATTTTCAGAGGCCATTGTAGTTATCATTATGGATAACATGAAACTTATGAAATTTGATCGAATTCCAGGAATAAGGTCCTATTGAGAAGAATCGATTACTAACCGATCTAGCTAGACATTTAAGGTTGATACATTAGAATCCCACTATATTTTTGTGTGCATTAGGAAAATGTTCAGGAACCTTTATACATAATAATTCTAAATTCAGATTTACTGCGAGTGATTCTATTACCCAAACAATCAGGGGTATTCAGGAATATACTTTGAATTCATAGGATTTCAGACCAAATGAGGTATTCAAAATCTTTTCCTTCTGCGTTACTTGCGTTTTCCAACATGACCGAAGTGATTTTAGATGAAAATATAGAATCGAAGATTCAAGTCATTTACAATCTATGACTATCGATCATATTATCAAACAACTCGAGTTACACAACTCCCAAACTGATGCATGTCAACAAGTCAATTCATTATCCTTCCAGTGTATTCACTCTTTAATACCATAATGTAGATCCATATATTATCCTCATAATCATCACTGAATAAATCTTCCAACGGTCTTTATTTCATTTCCACGTTTCAGCAATATCAGGAAATACGGACGTACTTGATCCATGGCTCATAACCCATAAGGACAATTCATCATGTAAGTTAAACAGTGTTACCAAACTCATCCAATCACCTATTTAATCCTCAGTCATTGATGTTACTTAGTTCGTTTAGTAAGCAAGTCTATCACGATTACTTTAAAGTTTTCCGGAATAATTCAGACGTTTCTGAATTTCAAATACATGTTGTACTTCATTTCAGTTCAATTTATTCATATAATAAAGTCATTCTGGTATTCGTGGTTGATTTGACTCACGAATACCCACTTATTAGTACTGTATGCGCTCTAGAGTTGAGCTGAGCCAACTTTCCAGAATTATCATCGATCCAAATTTGAGAAGATGAACAAACATTCAAGTGGTACTTGGTGCTCAACGTTTTTTTCTATTCATTTCAAAGCTTGAGTATATCCATTCATTCCTGAGTTGGTGACATTCTTGAGTCATTTCCATTACAGGGGGTATTTTGGTCATTTTACAATTCTAGAATATTTCAATCATTTCCTTCCATCCGGTCTTATTATTTAATTCAATCTTATCATTTACTTCGTCTTTCGACAATTCTGACAGTACAATACCTCCGATAAATTACTCTTCAAGTATTTATCATATTCAAATATTTTCGGTCAACTGTCTTCTCAGATTTTACAAATGGAATATCATACATTTTTCTGTACAATGACATGATCTTAACATTAAATTCGTACTTAATCGAATTAGTACAAATCCTCAAAGTACTCTCTCATTCAGGGTCAATTAGACTATTTAATCTCTCAAGGGCATTTTCGTAATTTCTTAACCAGATAATTTCAATATTAGCTCTTGACGAAAATAATTATATTTAGAGATCCTATGATCAATTGCTTTCTCGAACATTCTCTATCTTGAATGATTCCTTAATAGAATCTAATATTTGCACAAACCCTCTAGGGGTTAAAAAACCGATTATCCGTATTTCGTAAGCAAAATCTAGCATTTCTTAAGCACATCTGTAGTTTTATCATCAATATATCATTCCAGAGGTTATTAATCAATTCAGGGATAATCTTGACATCTTACAACTTAAGGGTATTTTCGTAATTTTACCCTAGCGGAGTATTATCATAATTTCCATCCAAGTACCTTTAACATTTACTTGATGAAATAAACTAAGTTACAATCCATGTTGATTTCGTATCACTAAGCACAGAACTTGTAATTTAATTCTAACAATCCCTCAATTTCTTTTAAAAATCATCTAAACCATAATCAATTACTGAACCCTTTTTACCGTATTCAGATCGAGTGTAGAAACTAATTGACTACACAAATGAGACCAACATTATCTTAATCATGCATTTACCAATATTCACATGTCTCAAAGCATAAAGAGATAGTAAGTATTACCTCGATTTCGTGCAATTGATCG